TGCTGCTGATGGCAGCATCGATGTGACGACTCTTTGCACTCAAATCATCGAGTGCTCACTCAGCAGTGGTGTCGAAGCCATCAGTGTGAAACACTGTGCGCTAATTCACTTGATAATAGACCTGAGGATATTAGCGAATGCTTTTTGTGTTAGAACAAAAGTGGCAAGGTGGTGATGCTTGAGCTGCGAACAAAAAGCCTCTAATCGAATCACTGTGAGAGAGTGTGTTTTCAATCTGGGCAATTGGCGGTGTGAGGCATAATCAGCAGCGCTAATTACACAACTGCACACAAATGCACTCACTCAAAAAAACCAGAAAGGTTAAGGCTTACAAAGTATTGATAATTAAGTGGAGAACAGTGAAAATTAGCCAAAGGTAGAAGTGGTTTTATACAGACACAAAATCAGTGAAGAAAACGTGCCTTTTTTCACCTCAATTGAGCACACAACGCCAATTTGTGATAAGATTTGCTGTCGAATTGACCAAATGGAACAGATACTGTGATGGTTGACACTAGAAAATCATCATTACTGAAAAATTTTGGTAGCTCATCAACTCTTCCTCTCTTTCTGCCGGCGCTGTATTGTTATTCATATTTTTTTTTCTCTTTAGTCGTGACCTTTCACCCAGCTCAGTGTAGCAGCAGCAGCAGTTTTCTTCTTCATCTTCATCTCATTCACCTTTGCCTCTGTCTCATTAATCGTTAATAGAAGTGGCGTGTAGAATCAAAGTCACATTAGCGCGCACTGGCGGCACTAGTGGCGGCTAGTAGTAGTCTTCACTACTACTACTTTTTGCCTTGTCGGCTCTTTGCTCTGATCTCAAGTGGTCTTCAGCTGAAGGGAGAGAAAGGTCATCGCGCGCTGGCTTTCTATTGGCCTGGTCGGCCTGTTCGAGCTTTGACCTTTGCCGCGCGGCTCGCGATCGCCTTAGCTAGTCTGAGCTTTAGCCTCTTCTTTTCCTCACAATTAGTGTCTCTCGTTGTGTCACGATGACCATTTGACTCTGATGGCCAGTTTGGGGACACACAGAAGTGTTTTTGCTGGCTGGCTGGCTGGCTACCTGTTCTTGTTTGCCTCACTTCAAACATAACAATTCAGTTCAGTGAGTGCGTGCTCACTGCTAATTACAAAGTCACCAAATTGCCGACAAATCAAGTTTTTGCCTATTCATAGAAAGCTGTCCAATTTAAATGCAAAGCACAGCAATACACTGACTATATCAGCAGTGCCACCAAGAAACTACGTAACACGCGTGTAGAACTTTTGGAAAATGGAGGAAATGGAGAAGGCGGTGTTTGGTGAGCTCTCTGTGAGAGTGTCGCTTCTCTGAGGTCCTTCCACTATAGAACTCAGGGTTTTGCAGGATGGACACGTGTTCATTACAGGAAGATCAGAGATGAAAAAGAGAGCAGGCAGGCAGGTGCCAACCAAAAGCCGAGAAAATGCAAATGCTGCCAGTGCCAGTCAGACAAAAGAAATGGCAACAGTAGTAGCAGATGAAGTACTTTTAAATCGATTAGAAGCTCAGTTACCCTCTTCAAATCGATACGCTCTTCAATTGAGCAGGCAGGTAGGCAGCAACAGCAGCAGCTGAAGACAATGAAAGCGAGCAAATCAGCAGCAGTGAGCAGCAGGGTCATTGGTCAGCACAGTGGCGGCAATTAAATAGGCCTGAGTGCCTCAACTCAACTTGCTCACCTGGCCATCCTCAGTCGTTAAGGAAGAAGTAGGCAAATTCTTTAGAGTAGAGCAGCAGTTCAATTGGTAATTAAAACATAACCACTGTCAGTCGAGCAAGGAAGAGACAAACCTTTTAAACTCCATGTAAACCTTCTCGGATTCATAATTAATAAGCAGAAGCGGCGGCAGAAGCACAGAACACCCAACGCGTTCTTCCAACGTGTTTGCAAACAAAGGTGTCGGTGAAGGGATGTGTGCGCCCAAGTGTGTGTGCCATGCCACACATATTAGGACAATGCTCTATTATTATTTCCTCGGTGCCGACGAACGACCGCAGGTCAGCTGCGGCGGCGGCGGTCGCTGCTCCGAAGTGCCTCAAAGATCTTCTTCCTCGATGATCTCCTTAGTTGCCTTTTTAGTTTTTTTCTTTTGTTGTTGTTCTTCTTCTTCTTCTACCACTCTCCGCTGATAATTAATATTAATACTAACTGGACGGACAATCAAAAGGCAATTAATCACTGTTGTGCTCAAGAGTTGTGTGTGGCAGACAGAGTGAATGCAAAACTGTAAAATGTGCTCCAGCCGACACCTTAAACATTTGCAAACATTATAAGCTGATTGTATTTAACTCTTCTAACCTTTTCTTTATCATTTTCTTTTTCCTTTCAGACGCATGTTCCCCACCGTACGGTGCTCCTTCTCGGGCATCGACCAGATACCGCTGCACGGCGACTGCCGCCTCCTGGTGATGATGGACATTGTGCCGGTGGACAACAAGCGGTACCGGTACGCCTACCACCGCTCCAGCTGGCTGGTGGCCGGCAAAGCCGACCCGCCCTCTCCCGCCCGTCTCTACCTGCACCCTGATGCCCCTTACAGTATGGAGCAGTTGCGCAAACAGGTGATCTCATTCGAGAAGGTCAAGCTGACCAACAATGAAATGGACAAGAGCGGCCATGTAAGTAGACAGTCACATCTTCTTCTGTTTAGGCTTTATAAAACACGAGCATACCTTTAGCATTTTTTAGCATTTCTTCTTCAAGAGTGTGAGTCAAATTAACAAATGCATTAACACGGTCATTTTCACTCTCAGATATGAGGAAGGTCCGCATCATCTTTTTGCTGCTGCTGTTGAAAGGAGAGTGATCACTTTTAGCTCACGAAATTTGGGCTTGTGTGCAGCACAAAAATGAAAGGCTGAAACATACTGTTGGTTGGAATGTAAACAGCGGTAGTAAAGTTTATGAAGTTATGAAACAAAGTAGAAAGAAAGAGAAAGAGAAAAACAAGACAAAGAGCAAGGAGTGCAACACAACTCTGCTGCCTCTTCTTTAGCATTGATCATTGACCAACCTGTGTGATCTGATGATGACGGCAGTGGGCACAACAACACAGGTCGTATGTCGACCTCACACCTTGCAGCAGACATATCAGTCAGTCAGTCAAACAGCATTGGCAAATATTCAAGCGATTCCCTCTAGTTGCACTTCGTATAATTACCCTGCTAGTGGCATAATAAAGTTGTTGCACTGACTTTGCTGAATCTGTGCATGCAGCAGCAGCTTCAAACAGCCGCTTGCGCCTAGAATCGCTTATCGCCTCCGCTTAATTGTCTAGGCTGGTAAAACGGAATCCTCCACCTCCTTCTCCTCTTCAATGAACCGATTCTTTGGGCAGCAGTGAATGCACACGATGCGTGATGATGATTGTGGTGGTGATGGCGGTGGCTGTGGCAGCATGATCAGTGTGATCTCTGGACAGCACAAACATGCACACACTCGCACATCAATTGACACATGTAAATATCATTCACTGTGTCCGAGTGTGTTTGAGTGAGGCGAGGTGTGCGGCATTTGCACACACTCTCTCTCTCTCTCTCTCTCGTCATCTCGGTGGTCCTCTTTTCTCTTTTGCCTTCTTCTATTCAGATGAGCACTCTGTTAAATGTTCATGGCCAGAAAGTTGCATGTCACTGGCAATCACTCGTCATTACCACCACCATCATCACCATCATAAGCCGGCAATCATACATTTTTGCTGCTATTTTGGTGGGCATCAACGGCACCACCACCAGCCCACCAGCAGTGCCGGGCAGCATCAACAGCAGTAGTCGCACTTCATCACAGAGAAAAGAAAGACACATCTTTCACTCTTGAAAAGTGTTCAAACCTGTGTATGCAAACTTGTAAATGAGATCAGTTGTGTTGTGCCACTACCACAACTACCTTTTGTTTGTTTGACAAAATTGCCCAGGTAGCAGGTGCAGCATTAGTGTGCTAGCCCAAGCGAAAATGACACGCCATCGTTTTGTTGCATTTGAATAGCAGCAGCAACAGTTCTGTCTACTCAATCATTCGTCGCTGCCGTTTTTCGAGTGATACAATTGACCAGTGAGCAGTGTGTTTGTATGCTGGCAGCGAGCGCTCATCTGCCTAAGTATGTGCCAATTGGCAAATTTTCGACTCTAAATTGTCCCTTTCTTTCATTCATTCTCTTTTATCTGCCACTGCAACTGTTGCCTCACAGGTTGTCTTCACCAGTCCTGTGTGTGTGTGTATTAGGCACTCGTTGACTGCTGGCACTCACCAGTGCAATCAACATCATCATCATCATCATCGATGCTGCTGATGTTGATGTACAGACAATAACGATGATGCATGTTACGGCTGCTGCTGCTGTATCTTCAAATACATACTTCTGATTCTACCAAGTTGGTAGCAGACAGGCAGACTACAGCTACCAGTCGTTAAGAGTTGATAGTTTTGCACATACTGTTCTCTTTTTTTCGTTGTCTCGACAATCATCAAGAGAGTGAAAGGCAAGCAAAGGCTAGCCACCGTCGATGATGATAGTTTGTTGTAGTGGCAACAACAACAGCAGAGCAGTAGCCAAATTGTTCGTCGCAATCGCGACATGGTATCACCGTCATCACAGTAAAGTGTTTGAGTGTTTGAGTTGTGTGTGAGTTGAGTGTGTGCCATCATTGAAGATTGCCGCTCTGAAATAGCAGTAGCATGATGATGAACACAGCACACCTCTCCTCACGAGACGACAAAAATGGGGAGTTCATAATCGATGGATGAATTGTTGTTTGGACATTCATCGCTGCTGCTGATGATGATGCTGCGCCAATTTGTTGCCATTTGTCGAGCGGCAAATGGTCTCTTCTTTCTCAAGATTCTGTCTCGACGATAATCGTGTTGATATAGCTCAGCCAGCCTTGTTGTGAATGATCACCGGTGGTAGTCGTGGTGATGGTGATAGTGGCAGAGATGAGCGATTGAAAGCACACACAGCAGATGGAGATGGATGATGGTACACTGAGAAGACACAATGCTGATAATGTGACCATTGCATGTGAATGAGAAGCTTGAGGGGTACCAAAAGCAGGGAATAACAATAAACAAACAGGTCACAAATTAAAACTAGTTTTCTTTAAAATTTTAAAAAAATTTTCAAAGTGCGAGCAATTAGAGAGGTTGCAAGTAAAATGTTTTGTTTATTTCTGTATGTTTGTCTGGCCACTCTGTTTGAGTGTTTGCAAATTGTTTATGTGCTCCAGAATTTAAAATTGGGGCAAATTAGAGTTCCTGTTTCATGGAAAACACTGATGCCCTGGTACCTAGGCACATTTGGGCACACTGTGCCAATGAACCTGTTGAGTGCTGGCAAATGAGCAATTTCTTTTTTTGTTGAGTACCTTCTTTTTTTTGTTGCCAACTGACAATTTTTACTGGTCAGTGTGCGCAATTGCAGTGCCAATTATCGTTTCACACCTGTCACATCACTGTGTTTGACTGAGGCAACCTGATGTATGTGTGTGCATTTCGGTGGTAGTGCTAAGGTCAAATGGTCGCTCAGCTTTGATATCTTCTGCAGCAGCACTTGAAGCTTAGAACATTTTCACTCACTCTTCTTTCAGTGTGTTCTAAATGGCCGATGGTAAGCCGATTTGTCGCTTCTCGCTCCACTGCTGCTGCTGCTGATGCTGGGCCTTGATGTGAAAGGGAGGGGAAAATGTTGGGTTTATGGTTTGCCCCCCCCCCAAAACGCTAAATGGTCCCACTTTGTCTTCGTCTTCTTCACTCTCAATCTCAATCTCAAGTAGAGCTGGTGGTAGTAGTACCTTTGTCATTAGTGTGGTGAGAGTGAGTTTGATGTCATAATTGAAATTGCCAAAAGACGGCAGAGATACAGAAAGAGAGAGAGAGAGAGAAAGATGATAAAAAGCCGACGACGCATTAGTCGTCGACGACTACGTCGACGGGTCCACGGGTCGCAGAAGAGAGACAAGAGAAGAAGAGCAATTGCCGCCGGACTGGAGAAAAGACAACTGAACCTGGCAGGTCGACCTGGCACAGGTTAATTGTTTGTGGCGACTGTTGAGTGCTGCTGCTGTTGCAAATGGAGTGCTCGCTCAACAACTGCTACTGCTTTTGCTGTGATGTTTCCCGATTGTCCGAGTGCCATTTTGTCAGCTACGGCGCATCATTACGAGATTAGGCCGTTGCTGTTTCTGCTGCTGTTGCCGCAGGTGGCGGTTCTAGCACTCTTCGATTGACTCTTGAAAATTTGAAGAGACGATGACGTCTTGATAAGAGTTGGTAGTGAGCATTTGTGTGTGCGCCTTTACCGACCTAGGGACCAAGCTGGCCGCCACCAAATGGAACGATTCACGGCGGCGGCGGCAGATTAGCGACATGAGAAGAGGCCAAGTACCTGCTGGTGTTGTCAGCAAGCAAATCCCTTCTGGCATTGTCCAGCAATTAGAGGCCCATTAAGGCTATAAAAGAGCCTGAGCGAACGTGTCTGACTGCCTGCTTGTTTGTGTGTGTGTGAGTGTGTGTCTAGAAGAAGGGCTTCTTCCATCAACAATTACCTTTGACTTTTGACCGAACAACTGCTGAATACCAGACTGTCTTTCTAAATGAGTTTATCTGAGCACTTGGCTCAACCCGCGGCAACCACTGTCGCTGTCTCTCTCTCCTGCTGGGTCATAATCAAAGGTGATGATCTGCAAAAGTCGCGCCGAAAGCTCTGAAGATAGAGCAATTTGTCTGCTGACAATGTCCTTTGTGAATGTTGTTTTTTTTGCTAAAACAACAGACTGTTGTTCACCTTTGATCGCTTGTTGCTTCTATGTCATTGCTGCTGCTGCTGTTGGTCATCTAGCGACTTTGCACTTTTAGTTTCTGATCAACCAACACACACTGGCACATCTTCTGATTAGCCGACAAAACTGGTTGTAGCTTATCACTTTAGTTAGCAGCACTTTATGACATCACTGTTATGATTAATGCGGTGTCAATCACCTCAACACGATTTAGTAGTAGAATCTTTTTTTGCCTTGAAACCTGCACCTAATGGCGCCTTAATGATAATCAATTGCAATAAATATTGAATATTACTCGATTAGACAGTAAGATTGGAGAACTAGATAACTGGAGAAGGAGATTTGTTGACGAAGCAATAGAAAGAAGTAATCGTAATTGCAAACATGAACTCGAAACTGCAATCGATGCAATTGATCACTTGATCAAATTGCCTTTTTCTCTCACACTTTCAGACTGTCTGTGTTTTATAAAACTGCTGCTATCAGACAGACAAACAAATGGCAAAGAAAATGACCAATGTACGGACACTGCTAACTTGCCAAGGTTAGCAGAAGAAAGACAATTCTGCAGAAGTTTGCCCCTGCAGGTAGTGGTGTCAGTGGCGACAGTGAAAGATGAATTGCCAGTTAAGTGTCAGGAGATTGGCGTCAAAAGAAGTGGGGGAGGGGGAGAGAAGGACTGCTAAGTGACAGTGGAGAGTGAGCTGTAGAGTGCAGCGGACAGAGGTGATAAAATGAGGAGAAAATCAAGGCTGACTGAACACTGCTTTGGTGTTCTGATCATGTGTCGGCGGGCGCCGTTATCGAACAAGTCCTTCTTTTTTTGCAGACAGTGTACCTTACCTTTAAGAATAAAGTAATGGAAAAATCTGACTAATTGAGATGTATGATGTTAGTGTGTGTGTGTGTGTTTGATGGTGATTTGGCGGTAATTCAATTAGTACTGCTCACTACATTGCTGCATCGAGCATCTCCACTACTAGAACTTTTCAGTTTAAAAAGTTTTTTCTGTGTTAGTTGACGCTGAAAATGATGATGATGCCGTCAAGAAAACTTAGCAAGCAGATGGTCCAGTCTGATTCTACCTAGCAGGTAGACACACTTAAGACACTTTACCTATCGCTTGTTGCTCGCTCTGGCACTCTCACCTTCCAGCAGCCGTTTATCTCACTGTCTCCTTCCCTTTCTTCTCTTCACTGAGAAATGGACAAATTGTCAGCTTTTGCCTCCAATTTGCTTCCATTTTGCGCCAACTTTTCTACACTTAAGGTCTCACTGAGAGCAGCCGCCCGCCGCCGCGCCGCCGCCTGACGCCAAAGCCATTTACGCACGAGACAAGCTTTATGATGATGAGCCCAAGTGCTGCTGCTGCTTCTGCTGCTGCTGAATGCTCTCACTGCCACACTAATGTTTCACTACTGTTTGCTTACTTGCTTTCCTAAACAAACACAATCACACAATCACACTCTCACAGGTACCCTCGGGAGGGAGAGAGTCAGTCAGTTTACCTGTCTACCGAATACGAAAATTGGACACACACAGGCAGACACTAGCACAACCAATTAGAGGGCACTCATTGAGAGGCGGCAGCGACAGTCTTTGGAGACAGTGTTCAGAAGCAGAGAAAAAACAAAGAAGAGCCGAGCGTTGTAAAGTTGGAGCGCTGGCTTCAGGAATCGCTTCTAAAAAGCAGGTAAAAATCAGCAGAAAATACCCAATAAAGGGGTTATTTTTAGCAAAAATAAAAAACAGTTGAAAAGCTTCAACACTGTTTAAGATAGAATCTACCTTGCAAGTAAGCTGCTACTATCAGGCAATGAACTGCTTGACAGCCACTTGACAGACACTCAACATTCAACAGTGTCTTAAGGTGAGATTATGAAATGTGCGCAGGCATTATCTTTAGCTTCATCTGTTGAAGCAGCAGCAGTTTGTCATTTTGTTCTCTTTGTGTGTTCACCTGGCGTCAAAGTGTTGACTCCTTTGCTCTCACCTTCTTTTCTCCTTCTTTGTCTGTTCATAAATTCATAAACACATTATAAAGATAGCGATGCGTAATGGGCCTTCAATCATAATAAACGCCATAATTTTTTCGTCTAGCGACAGTTTTTTGCTTTTTCTACTTTTCTTTTTCATCTTCGTCGTTTTCTCCCTTCTTCACCTGATTGAAAATTTAGATAAATTGAGCTGCAAAGTGCTGCTGCAGTACGTTTTGTGCTATACATTTTCGTTTGAAGTCAGCACTAGTCAACATTTACATTTCCATTAAGGTCAATACTGTGAGGGGCTGTATTTTAATTCAATAATGTAATGTTCAAAATTGCCGCGTGATTTAGTTATAAAGAAAAAATTAAAGTTGAATAAAGGGAAAAAGTAAACGACACTAGGGGACGAATGACTAATTAGATGGCACCTCAGTGGTGCGCGAGTGTGTATATCAATCATACTTTTGTTTTTCATTTTCTCTCCCTTTCTGCTAATGTCAAATATGCAATCAAACAATCTTTTATCGACAACTTTACTGGTCGTCATCGACATCATCATCATCATCAGTTTCTTCAGTGTCGTCGTCGCCGTCATCGGCACCGTAGTGCCGCTGCTAATGGCGCCAATGTTTTTGGCGACACTGCAGTGCTTTTCTGCGCCTTTGGGTGATTTCAATCAACAGTGTCGCTCAAAAAGTTAAAATGTGAAATGAAAAGAAAAGAAATGAATGTAAATGGGAATCGGTGTGACGAGCAAATGAGAGTGTGAGGTGAAAATCAATCTGATCTGCAAATCTAGCTCTTGTGCGCGCCTTTGGGCACCATATTTGTTCATTGAAAAGAAAATTTTTTTCTGCTAGCACGTTAAGTGATCGTAAATGGAGAGAAAGGAGTGATGCTGATAAGAGAGGGGAAAGCAAGAAACAACAAAAAGTCCCAGATGCGGCGACGTTTGGGCGCTTCGGGCGTCATCTCTTTCCATTTATCAACAGTGCTTCAACAACTGATGTTGCTGCTGAAGTGTTGATTGCCAATGAACACAAACACAGAGACGAATGGGAAGAAATTTGAATCTTTTTTACTTTTTGTTGATTTGGTGACAACAACGTCGTTATCAGGCACTGCAGTGTATGTTTCTTGCTAATTTACCGGTGTGCTGCTGCTGTTGATGCATCTTTTTCTTGCTCCTCTTCATCTCGCCATCACTCGCCCATCTAATGGCAGCGTGAGAGTGCCTGCAGTTTGATAGCAGTTTGGACTTGTTGCACTTCACTACACTGTGCCTCACCCTCGCACTTCCTTGCTGACGTCCAAGGCCATGTCGCACTGAAGTGCACAGCCATAACCATCATTTCCCTCGCCACCACTAATTGATCAGCTCGCATTAAGGTGGCGTCAGGTGGGCGTCCAAATTGGCCAGTGATGTCTCTGTTTTGCAGCAGCAACTCAATCTACATCTTAATCTGCCCAGTAATACCTCTGCGATAAGAGTAGTCCACTCTGCTCAGCTGAAGAATAGTGCAGGTAGTAGTGGTCTCTCACAAGTTTAAGTGAACACCATGTGAGCTACAAAGTCAGCTCATCTTTGGATGTAAATGTGGCGCTAAGTGTTTTGAGGCACACAGACAAGAGGATGATGAAGACGGCGACGATGATGACGATGGTGTGCTGTCGTAGCAATTACCGTTCAGCAGCAGGTTTGTTGCTGGTAGCAGGCACTTACTTCAGCGAGAAGTGGCAAGAGACAAGCACTCACTTCACAAACAGTTCTACTAGCTGAAGCAACAGGAGCACTGAAGCTCTTCACCTGTTGAAATTTCAAAAAGAGAGATCAGGCAATTTGTCAACAGACTTGTTCACGTTTTGGCGCCACCAACACTCTTCAGTACGTTGCTGAACGTAGCTGCTGTCCGTCGCTATTTTGTCGTGCTGCAAAAGCTAAGCCAGGCAAAGTGTCCCCACTTTTGCAAAGAGCAAACACTGCTTTTTTGTTGCTGCACTTAGCTCAATCATAAGGTTTGCACGCTATTTATGGGATAGATGGCACATATAGAGAGGGAGAGCATGAAAGATGGAGATTGAGGGAGATTGAGATCAGTCAGTGAGATGTGAGGAAAGCAGTGCTGCTGCCACAGTCACTGCTAACTTGTCTTGGCTCATCCTTGAATAAATCGTACAACTGTCTGTTTGTCTGTGTACTTTCCAACGTGTGTGTCACACTGCTTCTGCCTCTGCTGTCATAATCTTGTCATGTATCATTGCCCCATACTCTTCGTAAGAGTGCTCTCTCTCACTCGTACCATTCGTTAAGTGCCATGGAAAAGAAGCACCAAGTGAAGAACCCACAGAACTGTGTTGAACACAAGTGTGTGTGTGTGTGTTCAAAATGCGAGGAGAAAAGCTCAAAAGGAGCAAAATTAAGATTTACATTTAGATTTTATGTCCTGATTTGCTTTCTCCCCCTCTTCATCTCTCTCTTCAGGCGATGATGATGATGATGATGATGACGATGATGCTTGTTTTATTTTAAAATGCAGAAATACGATAGCTCACAGCAGTAAAAAGCGATGACTTTGATGACGGAAAAAAATAACATGAACGCTGCAATGGCTGTTTATCTTCAGTGTTTTCTGCTAACAATGAACAAATTGAGCGAGAGTAAACATGTACGGTGTAAAGATAGAGACAAGAAGAGTGTACAGCACATGCTTTGCCTCGTCACCACCGCCGCAACCGTCATCTCGTTTGTAATTAACGGCCATATTTACACCTTTACAGCTGAAGCAAGAGTCTCCATTTTCCCTCTCTCCTTTCAGCAACAAAACATTTTCTGCACCTCAGGCGACACAGTGACGATAAGATGCTCCTCTTCTTCTTTGCCATCTTGAACATCTTCATCAGCTCTTTCTTTCTCTTTTTCTGCCTTTATTCAATTAGTACCTAATCAGTTCTCTCTTTTTCTTTTTTCCTCTTCTTTAGATTGTGCTCAACTCGATGCACCGCTATCAACCTCGCATTCACCTCATCCTCCGGCGCAATCCTCAGTCATTCAACAGCACCGTGCAGGATATTGAGCACGAGATGCACCGTACCTTTGTCTTCCCTGAGACGGTCTTCACGGCCGTCACTGCATACCAGAATCAACTGGTAAGTGTTGAGCGTACTCTAGCTGTCTTTTGCTAAAAACAACAACATCAACTGACAATCTTCTTCCTTTCCCATGCAGATCACTAAACTGAAGATTGATTCTAATCCATTTGCAAAGGGCTTCCGCGATTCAAGTCGCCTCACCGACCTTGAACGGTAAGTTGTTGTTGCTGCTGCTGTTTTTGCATACCATTACTGCGCTTTTGTACACTTAACAAACTACAAATCACTCGAATGTTTTACGTAGAAGAGAAAGACAAAACAACAGCCAACAGTCAGACAGACAGATAGAAAGAGACCACCTTTTCACACCTTTTTCAGCACAAGAAAGTGCCAATAAATAAGAAAAGTGACGCTGCTGTTGACGCTGCTTTCTGCACTTGCGCTTGCAAGTTGCACTGGCACCACTCTCTTCACACCAGTCGATCGACTCTAATTAGAATGAAGTGTTAGATTAAGTGGCGAAATAATAGATTACACTCACGTGCATCATGGGCAGCATGGTCCGCCGCCGTTCAGTTTACTGTTGACTGGTGAAAGGGAACAGAAAAAAGGTCGCAAGACGACTGTCCAATACTGAACACAGAGCAATTGAGCAGCCATAAATCTTGCCCCCAGTGCCACAGTTGAAAGATGTGCACTCGACAGTGCCATTTTACATTGGAAATTAGCCATACACGTTGGTGGTGATGGTGGTGATGAAGGCCACCGGAGGAAGCAGTGATGCAGAGAGCAGAGCCCATTGCCCATTCCTTCTTTTCTAAACTGCTTCTAAGCAGTACTTTCCCAGTGAACACAGTCACAGAACTGCGAGCCTCTTTGAAATGTGCTCTTCAGCAAAAAAGAAGAGCCGAAACTGCTCGTGCTAACTTGCCATTATTAATTGCAATTGGGGTAATTAATTAGCACAAATGACTCTTAGCGAAAGAGCAGAGAAGGGAATGTTCTGCAGCAGCAGTTTTTAGCAGTATTTGCCCAAAGTTAGTTGAAAGCTGCTTTAGCTTTGAAAAAAGCAGTCTATTAGAGGAAAAGTGTTTAGTTTGTGACAGGTTTCTTGTAAAGATGGGAAGATAAGGAAAGACCCAAACCTTGAAAACTTGGCAGCATGAATCCTTTTTTCTTGCCAGTCATAGATCTTGGCACTTACAAAATTGGATTTGCAGGACTCAGGTTTTAAGCTGTTTGGCTGCGGCTTTGTGCGGCAGCTAAACAGTGGTGGTCAGGTGCAGGGCTTGCAGGCCCACCCAACCTCAGTGGCAAAAAGGAAGCCAACAGAAAGCTAACTCTAAATTGACTGAGGCAGCAAATAATTTGCTCTCGACCACCCGATCGTCGTTGTCCTTGTCAAATGGTGGCGGTGCTGTTTAATCCAATTAGACTGCACTGTGTGTCTATTCGTCTTCTCCCCTTCTCTCCTATCCGTCGGTCTTTTCTTGTCCTTCCTGCCTTTCGGTTTTCTTTTTCTTCATCTTCTTGCCCATCTTGTTCTTATGTAATTAATTAAGTCTGTCTCTGTCTGTCTATTTCTTCTCCAGTGTGTCAGGCAGACCCAAATGTCGGCATGTTGGGGCAATGTATCACTTGTTGCCAAAAGACGAAGAGCATTTCCTTTCCCTTTGCGGTGAGGAACTACTGGAGTAAAATAGAGAGAAAGAAGCTGTGTGCGGCGGAGAATCACTCAGTCAAAAGTGTGCACACTGAAACAAAGTCTTTCCAATGAAGAGAGATAGAGAGAGAGAGTCAGTGAGAGAGACTTTAGACGGATTAGTGTGCGAGTGTGAAGAGAGTGTGGAGAGTCGGCCGAATCCCAAAGACAACACCGAACAAAGAACAGGCAGGCAAGAGGAGGGCACACTTTGTCAATTCCTTAGAGTAGAAGCTTCTTTGAGTGTTCACTCCACCAAATGACAAATGGCTGCCTGTTGCAGCTTGTCAACTGGACCCAGCAGCAGCTTCTGCCCTTAATTAACATACTCTTGTGCGCTGGTGGTGCACTTTACTACTAGTGTCTCTGCTGCCAGTGACAACCTTCACTACAACAAATCACTACAAATTGTCAATAAGTCGACTGTTTGATGGCCAGAACTGCCGTGGTGGTGGTGGTCAGTGGGAGCAGTAAAGCTGAAGCGTTTCTGTCTTTCGGCATCTTTTTTTCTCTTTTGCCAGCTAGGTCGGACTAGTTCAGAAACAGGCAGTATCCGATGTCTGCCAGCACTGACTTCGAGTGCCTAGTCAAAATACAGCACCAGCGCTTCTCTTTTTCTTCTTCCTTTAAAACTGGCAACATTTTTGTGTTAAGAAGTACTGCGCAAAGTCTACCAAACTCCACTAAACTAATGATCAGCGGTAGTACACACACAGTTGCAAATCTGCGGCTCATCACTCATAAACGGTGTCAGAGTAGTGGTGGGCAATTGATGATGATACGTCATCTTTGACGCCAATTTGTGCGACAATCTCGCAGCAGCACACATTGGCAACCAAACTGCAATGTGTCGCTTGTTAGTGGCACTGGAAAGAACAGCCCAGCAGCACAATTTGTCCCCTTTGCTCGTGACAGATTGATGAGGTGCCACCGTTCAGCTGCTGCTGCTGTTGCTGCTAATGTTGAAGAAGAAGAAGATCGCATGTTTTACTGCCATTGCACTTCTGTTCACATTGCAAATACAAAAAGGGCCAACTCACTGAGATTAGCAACGTGAAGATACACATTGATGCAATGAATGTGAGCTGAATCCGTGCCGATCACAGGGTACAACAAAATTGCAGTCTACAAAATGCAGCCTCTAAATGGCAGCTCCATTTGCACTTCGGCGCTTGTTCAGCTACTTGTCACTGGCAGCCACAGTTCAAACGAATCAAATTGAACATTGAACACAATAGCTGCTACCTGTGCGTGTGTGTGGCCTGATGATACAATTATTCTCTGGCACCACTTTAGAGGAGACCTTCTTGCTGGCAGCAAGCATCCCTTCGATCATCATCCTCACGGGCAATCATTATCGCCTTGCTAAGTCGTCATCGTCGTCGTCGTCTAGACTGAGGACGATCTTTGAGCCCCTGCATGTTGTGCATACATTCATATGAATTCATACTGGCACACGAATGGCACAAAGCACACTTAATGATGACCTTTTCAATGGGGGAATAGCAGCAACAGCAACAAACCTAAACTTGCCTAGTAACCGCCAGAGCAGCACACTGAAAAATTAGTATCTTTGCCTTCTTTGCAATTTTGTCGGACTCAGTCAGTGTTGCTTTTTGAAAAAACAAACGAAACAAAAAAAGAACTTTTTGAATGAAAAATCTACTGGTACAGCTCTCTTTTTGTTGATATATCCGTTGAATATTTCACTGGATTTAAATTTCACGCCGGTCATCATCATCGCAGTGCCAAAACCTTGCAAAACCGAGAGAATAAAAGACACTGTTGTTGTCTCAGTGATACACTCACAAATGAGAAGGGGAGAGAGTTTCATATCCGACGTCTCAATCTCTCTTTTTTTGTGCAAGCTGGGTGTTCCATAGAGCGCACACAGAGGGGATACATTGACGGCATCACAAGCACATGTCCTCGAATAGATTCATCATCTGCAAGCTTTGCTGAATCATCAAAGCGAGAAATTATCGCGCCATCCTCGAAAAAGAGGAGAATGATAACTAGAGAAAGCAGAAAAGAGTGCCTGCTCTTTGTTTGCCTTCTTTTCACGGCGATGATCTGATGAGGGAAAAAGACTGAAAATGACCAAAAAGTTGAGTGAGAGGGCCAGGAAATCCGATGCCAGTTTCGCAGGAGAAGAAGGCCACACGCGCTCGTGCCCACTGCCACTTTCCACCAGATAACGGACATGGACATCTCAATTGACACACCGAATGAAAGCATCTTCTTTTGCAAATATTCTTTCTCTTTTTCATCCTCCACTGAAAAGGATCCCCCTTCTCCTGAGTTTTCTTGTCAACGAGCAGTTTTTAGTGCACTGCATTAGACTGCATTGCACTCAGATTTTGCAGCCCCAGCAAAGTTGTGCGCGTGTGTGGCATTTTTCTCGCACTTTTTCACTGTATCACCACCATCATCACCACCACCACCAAAAGAACTA